TATTATTATTACTACTACTACTACTACTACTACTACTACTACTACTACTACTACTACTGTTATTATTATCATCGTCATCAAAGAATAATAGCATGCTGCCTACTAAATTCTGATTTATGGTGAACTTTTTCAGGGTTTTTTAGGTAGAGAATACTTAGAACCCTTCCTTTCTTCTGTGAGGTGTCCTGAGACTGTGCAGCTTGCCCAAAGCCACCCAGGCTGCTTCTTCTCCCAGAAGACACATTGGGGGAAATCAAGCTCCCAACCTCTAGTTCTGCAGCCAGAGACCTAAACCATTGAGCTATTCAGCCATCTATAAAAACCAAGTATTTCTTCAAGATTCGCACTTTATTTCTGCCTTCATTGCTAGATAATACATAATACATGGATAAACATGCCAGACCCTATCAAAACCATACATTAACACAATCTGGTATAAATCAGTTCTCCCATGATATGAAGAACCAGATATACTGTATAGCAATTAAGATTTTAGAGCCCTCAGCAGATAATCTCTTCCATGTTCTTCTCCTCCCTCATTCTAGACCAGTGTCCAGTCTTTCCCCCTGAATTCTAGGTATAGCAGCTGTATCTGATACAACCATCCACCCAGGAAATGACGTTTGTTTCATACCTAGCATGGCTACCTCTGCTTTTGTTTGGAAACTGAGGTCAGTTAATTTCAAAGAATTTCCTCCCTTTATCTCACAGTAGATTGTTCTCCGGTACTAAAGGGTGGATGGACATTGGCTCTCGTATTAGCCAAAACTCAATTGAAATCTTTATTTTAGTACCCCCTTTTCTTTTTTTTCTTGTTGGGAATGCTAGGCAGCACTGGCTTTAAACCAACCCACCTTGCACTGAAATAAGGTCATGGCACAGATTCCTACTACAACAGGGGAGACGCTGCCAGGGGCTGCATTGCTGGATCCTGGGCAAACCTTAACCTTGGGGTGAAATGGCAAGACAGGAACAGTGAAAGAGCAGGAGACCGTGTTACAGAAATTACGCAATTGGCCTGTGTCCCAATTCAGCTCTCCTGCTCCCACTAGTACTAAAATAACACTGAACTGCCAGTCCAGCCAGTTTCTCTTCCAGAATGTTGGTAGGGACGATACTGCTATCTGGCTCCTCATCTTAGGGAGCAAACTGGTTCTGGGCAGCTTTCCCATTAGACAGAGAAAGGGAGGATCTGGGGTACCATGAAAGAAGTAGCAACCTGTTCATTCATTATTGACAGGAAAGGTATTTGAAGGCCTAACGGTCCAAAACAACATCTGCCTCAGGACTCAAGATAATTTTCTTCTGCCTCAGGACTCAAGATAATTTTCCATGGATACCTTACAGTAGATCATTTTGGTAGACAGGTGCATTACAGTCATGTCTCTTCCTCAGGTACTAACCTGTCTTCAGGCAGTTGCCCAATACTACTAATCTGCTCAGCTTCACACTCACACCCATGAGTTTTCCTGTGTAACTATATGACATTTGCAAAGTTGCTCTGAGAAACACAAGGGCCCTTTGATTCTTGCAGAACGTCCGTCATCCCTCACCGCTGGCTAGATCTGATGAAATCTGCCGTCCAACCACCCTGATATGGGTTTCTCTTGGCACTTTCAGAAGTTTTTTGACACTTTAGGATCTGAAAGCCCCCTGGGAGGAAAACCCAGACGCTCGCCTATTGTTTCCCCCTCTTTACTTAACTACACACGCCGTTTGTAACTGGGGTGGGCAGGCGAAATCCGTGCGAGCGACTCAAGTCTTCCAGCCGCCCCTATTTTTTGAAACATTAAAAGCAGATTGTTTCACATACAGTGCGAGACATCAGCTTGCAGTCCGTAACAAAATAAAAGGGGGGCTCCGTCAGCTTCCGGACTGCCCCAAAGGCATTTTAACCAAGTGCTCAGAACAGCTATTCCAAGTTCCGGCAGCAGCCTTTGCGCGGCAGTCCGCTTTCCTGGGAGTCCGCGCCCCCCCTCTGGACCCAGTGGGCTCTCCTGTTGAGTAGCCGAGGCGAAGCTCGTCCTGTGCCCTCAGACGGCGCCCGTTCGTCGACGCCTTCCTTCCGGCGGACAGAAAGAGGGCAACCCGCAAGGCTACAACTACAGCCCGCCAAATCTGACCTAGAGGCGCGCCCAACGGCCGCCGTGGAAGAAGCCAGTGCCCAACTCTTCTCTTCACGGGGTTGTGATAGTCGCGCAACAAACCCCCCCCCCCCCCAATTCCCCTGTTTCTCTTCCATTTCGCCTAAAAACAGCACACGCGCTCCGGCTGCAACGCTTTGGCAGACGACGCGGGGGAAACACAATACCTCCACAACGGAAAGCTGCCCGCTTCCGACACTTCCACCAAGCTCACCCTCCGCTTCTGTTGTTTGGGAGTGGGGTAAACTCAGGACGGGCCCAAACAAGGAGGAAATTATGCGGACTTTGTCACCTCCCCTCCCTCCCCACACCGCGCGTCAGTCCCGCCTATGAAGGGCCGGAAATCAACAAAACCGGCGAAGAATCCAGGAGGCGGCGGGAAAGTCTTCTGCTTTGGGGGAGAGAGTCCAGTTAGTTAGTTAGTAGGACCGACCTGTTCTATCAATAAGCGCCCCTAAGCGCTGAACTGGGCGTGGAAGCAAATGTCTGGGTCTCCGGAAAACCCATCCGGATTTCTCCCCAGGGAAAAAGAAATTTTGGGGCGGCCTAAAATAATCGGGATACCCAGGGTGGTGCAGTGAACCGAGTGACGAAGTAGGACTCTTGGAGACTACGGTTCAAATCCCCACTTGGCCATGGAAACGCACGGAGTGTATGGGATAAACTGCCTAATTCCCCACATAAAATCTTTGAAATCTGGTTCCCAGTTTGTCCCTGTACTCTGCAAAGCTGAGCTCCTAGTGATAAGACCACACAATTCCCTTGTTGCCTTTGCTCAGTTCCTGTATTTGCAGGTAAGGCGAATACAGTGGTGGTGGTGGGGACCTTATAGCCCCCCTTCTTTCCCCTCTGAGTGAAACACTTTTCTTGGCTTGGACCCAGTGCTAGATCTTTTGAAAGGAAAGCGGTTACCAAGGCTATATATATTCCCCGCTGGGAGCTGGACACTTGCTGGGCGCCCTGCCCAACTGCTGCCGGACTTGTCACTGGGTCCTCTGAAGAGAAAGCTACTGCCAAAGGCACGCTTCCCGCTCTTCTTTAGGCATCTGGCACTGTTGTATGCTGGAGAGGCAAAGCTTCTGTTTGTAAGGTGGTACCAATTCTCCTTGCCCTTGCAAGGATCTGGGCAGGCAGTTGGGTGGACTCACTAACAGACTGGCTCCCATCCATCCATCCATCCATCCATCCATCCATCCATCCATCCATCCATCCATCCATCCATCCATCTTGTGTAGGTCTGCCCTACCAAATTTAGTTGCTAAGGATTCACTTTTCACTTTGGATGGGTAAGTAAGTTAGCTTACTTCTGTCCCCTGAGAAACCTTCTACTCTCCAATGTGAGTAATGGCCTTGAAAGCCTATGCTATCTGGGTCCAGGGCATCTGAACACGATATTTGCCGTATGTATCTTTCTCTGCTTTGATGGCTAGAAACGTGGTCTCTTGTGGCTACCACCAAAACCAGCAAGGCCTTCTTGGTGGTGGTCTCTCTGCTGTGGAACTCCTTCCCATCACAAATGCACCTGATTCATTGGAGCAGCTGGACAGCAGAGGGAGCAGCAGGTATGTACCTCTCCTGAACACAGTCTTCCCGATGACTGTGCTGCTCCTGTTCAAATTGCACTTCACTATGAGTAGATTTGGAGTGTCCAATGGAATTAGCTGTGCAGGGTGTGGGGCAGATCTTTTGACTTTTTGTGCCATGCCATGTGTCAGCGGCCATCCTAAGGGGTAGGAAAGGCAAGGCAACAGAAAGGGTATGTGTGTCTGTGCGTGTGCATGTATGCATACACATGGACATTCCCATTTGACCTGACCTTCTGTGATGGAAAGGTTCAGGCCTGGATGTTGCACACAGGACTGACGTTCCTGCAGGAATTCCAGTCGGCTGCAGATGGCAGGGCTCTCATTTGTCTCCAAAGCCAGCAAGGGAATTTATTCCCTCTACTTATCATTTTTGCATTAAGCTCATTTTCTTGTGCTTGACTAAAGTGTCTTGGTTAGAAGGGTTATCAAATCTTAATTGGGGGATTGTAAGTGAAAGGAAATCCATCTTTCTCCCTACAGAGTCTGACAGAGCACTTGCATTTAAGTACCTTTGGTGTCTTGTTCGGAGGAGGGAAAGGAAGGAAAAACCCAGCGTATCTCTCAAATACTGATTCTTGTTCTGAGTTCTCTTAAGGCGGGTGTGGACAACTATGATCCTGCTGGACCACCATCATCCTTCCCAGTTGGCTCTGCTAACTAGGGCTGATGGGAGTCAAGAGTCCAACAACATTTAGAGAGGCGTCAGTAGGTCGTCCTTGTTTTAGTCACATCCAGAAAAGTTAAATGGATATCTATCCATCATCCTGTGGCAGGAGGGCAGAAACAAGCCGTTGGAATACTGCAGGGGGCTATAAGTCATTTTGGCCAGTTTCTGTCTGAAGTAACGGCCATTCCTTCCTTTATGCATGTTGGTGCAATAAAGACTGAAAAAGAGCTATAATGTGGTGAACAGCTGCTAGAAATTAAGAAGTGCCATGGGCCGTGATCCTGTGTGGCTGCAGAATAACTTTCCACTCTCTCACAGTAAGGACTGTGATGGAGGTGTGGGTTTCCAGTCATTTTCTTTCCCTCAGCAAGTATATCACATATGAAAATGGAAAGGGTTGAAGCTGGGGTTTAGAATAAGTTGTTGTTGTTGCTTTAACACAGTGTCTCTGGTATGTTCATGTCTTGTGGGCAGTCTTGAGTTGAGAAATGCACTGCCACGTTTTGAAAAGAGTGCAGGACAGGAAGCATAGTCCAGATTTGGATGATTCCCTCATGGTCAGCCATGAGGGAAAACAACACCGTCACTCACTGTTGTCATTCAGGACATGACGGCTCCACCTTGTGGCTGAGCAAAGTGAGTCACTCACTGTTGTCATTCAGGACGGCTCCACCTTGTGGCTGAGCAAAGTGTAACCCTTGGAATGGATGCAGACCCTCCTCTTGACATTGTTGCATCCCCTCAACACCCTTCCCCCCAATGTCCCTCCAGTGTAATTGAAAAAAAAGAGATGAAAATATATTTTCTGCTTCTGGTGGCCTCCAGGATTGACAGGTTTTTGCTCCAGCTAACCCTGGTTTGGGTAGGGTGGGGCTGCCCAATTAACTCCAGACACCAATGAACCTACCCCACTTCTAGTTTTTACTTTTGGGGCCCCTTTTGGCCATTTGGCCAGGGACGTAGTGGCGCTGAGGGCTAAACTGCAGAAGCCTTTGTATGCTGCAGGGTCAGAAGACCAAGCAGTCGTAAGATCGAATCCACGCGACGGAGTGAGCCCCCGTCGCTTTGTCCCAGCTCCTCGCCAAGCTAGCGGTTCGAAAGCATGCAAATGCAAGTAGATAAATAGGGACCACCTCGGTGGGAAGGTAACAGCGTTTGGTGTCTAAGTTGAACTGGCCATGTGACCACGGAAGATTGTCTTCGGACAAACGCTGGCTCTATGGCTTGGAAATGGGGATGGGCACCGCCCCCTAGAGTTGAACACAACTGGACAAAAATTGTCAAGGGGAACCTTTACCTTTACCTTGGCCATTTCAAAGGACGTTGGCATCCTTTGACAGGCACAGGGGGCACAAATTGGGTCTCCAGGTCTGACCAGTGTTGCCCCTCCACACTCCACTTGGCAAGTGGCATCATTCATTCTCAAGTGGGAGTCCAATTTTGCCCAGATGGTTTGGACTTGGAGCCATAAAAGTTGCATTAATGTATCACAGGTGTTTTTTTTTCTTTTCTTTTCCAGCATGGCCCTATTTTATGAAGCAAGCTCCCCCTGCTGGCTATCCGTCCATAACACAGTTGTTAAAAGCCGAGAACCTCTCTCTCTCTCTCTCTCTCTCCATCCATAACACAGTTGTTAAAAGCTGAAAACCTCTCTCTCTCTCTCTCTCTCCTGACTTTCTTCTCTGGAAGGGAAAAAAGTATCAGCCAGATTGTACCAAGATAGTGTGGCTCTCCAGATGTTTCTGGAACAACTTGCATCCTTTCTTGATCACAGCCAATGTTATCACATAATCTTTCTTTATTCACATCAGACTGTTGCACAATTTAAAATTCTGGATGCATATGAAATATAGATAAAATTTTAAAAATAGACTAATTTTTAACCAGAGGCGGGTTTCTTCAATAGCATTATATTGGTCATTTGCTAGATCTTCTTTTGATTGATTGAATCTCTCCACAGTCACAGAAAATTTGTCTGTATCCAAGTAGCCCCATTTTACTCACTTATTTGATCTTTTTAAATGTTTATCCCACCCATCTAGTGGCTAAGCCACTACTCCAGGTGGCTTACGACTAAAACATCAACATTAATTATTCTTTGATCTTTCTACTTTGCTTCACAATCTATTAAGTGACTTCCAAATGGTCCAGCTAAAATCTTGTCCTGGTGGGAGACACTGTTCAGCATCCATCCATTCAGCAGCATGTGTTGTTTTTGACTCCATAGGTTTTGCCTAGCCTTTCTGGTTTAATCTTTGGAATTTGAGATGTACTGTATGTAGAAAACTTTCCCTCAGTTTTAGCTGTCATCTACAGAGCTGCTATCCACGAAGTGGATGGGTTTGGTCCTGTATCACCTTATTTCATTCCTTCCTTGCCAGCACCTCTTGACGTTCTTCTGGTGGTTTTGTGCTTTCAAGAGGAGTTTTGCAGGCCTAAAGCGTTCCCTTTATGGTGCAGTTGAAGAGATGGGCAATTAACTTTTACCCCTGTAAGAAGCTGAGTTTAAGCGCCTCACTCCTTCTAACATGTATCTTATTAGAGCATCCCATTGCTTGTGCTCTCATGCCTGTAAACATGTGTGCTTGATAACTGCCTCAGGAAACCATGAAGAAATGATAGCCAGGGTTTTTACCTGTCTCTATTTGTTCAGCAGCCACTTAGTCTGCCAAACAAATTAGGTATTGCTTGTCAAGTTTTGCACATGAAGCTACTTTTTAACGGCACAGGAGACAGCCCGGCTGATTCCTGTTGGCCAACTGGCAATCCTGCAGCATTCAACGTTTAATTAACAGTACACTCCACCAGCCCTCAGGTGTTCTTTTCCCCTTGAGGGTAGACAGAGAAACAAACAAATTCAAAGAAATATGCCCCCCACAAAAGACGAAGAAGATGATGATGAACAAGAAGCCCTGTGACCTCAGTGCATTAGCAAATGATAGCCACAAGAGGGCAATATCTTACAAAAAATAAATAACAATACAACTTTGAATCCCTTAACACAGGGTTTTCATAGAATCATAGAACATGTCTACAGTGGTCCTTTTAGTA